CGCTGACAGAGGAGAGGAGAGCCGTAATCGGCATTCCTCAGAGGGGACATCTATACTGCTCATCAGGGCACTGATGATCAGTGTGCCCTGATGATCTGTGTAGCCCCAGCATTGCCACCTGTCAGTGTCCATCAGTGCCAGCTGTCAGTGCTCATCCATGCCACCTGCCAGTGCCCATCAGTGCCACATCAACGCCACATATCAGTGCCCATCTGAGCTGCCTTTCAGTGTCACCCATCAGTGCCAGTCAAAGCCAGCTATCAATGCCAGCCTTGGGCCTCTCCATTCTTCCTCCATACTCGGGGTCCTCGGGCCTCTCCATTCTTCCTCCATACTCGGGGTCCTCGGGCCTCTCCATTCTTCCTCCATACTCTGGGTCCTTGGGCCTCTCCATTCTTCCTCCATACTCGGGGTCCTCGGTTTCCAAATGAGATGCAAAAGTTGCTCTCATCAGAAAAGAGGACTTTGGAGCACTGAGCAGCAGACCAGGTCTGTTTTTCTTTAGCCCAGGTAAGATGCTTCTGACGTTTGTTGTTCAGGAGAGGCTTGACAAGAGGAATACGATATTTGAAGCCCATGTCCAGGATCCGTCTGTGTGTGGTGGCTCTTGATGCACTGACTCCAGCCTCAGTCCACTCCTTGTGAAAGTCCCCAACACTTTTGAATGGCCTTTTCCTGACAATCCTCTCCAGGCTGCGGTCATCCCTGCTGCTTGTGCACCTTTTTTTTCCACACTTTTCCCTTCCACATAACTTTTTATTAATGTGCTTTGATACAGCACTTTGGGAACATCCAACTTCTTTTGCAATTGCCTTTTGAGGCTTTCCCTCCTTATGGAGGGTGTCAATGATGGTTTTCTGCACAACTGTCAGGTCAGCAGTCTTTCCCATGATGGTGATTCCTACTGAACCAGACTGAGAGACCATTTAAAGGCTCAGGAACCCTTTGCAGGTGTTATGGCTTAATTAGCTGATTAGAGTGGGACACTTTGAGCCGAGAATATTGCACCTTTTCATAATATTCTCATTTTCTGAGATTGTGGATTTGGGGTTTTCATGAGCTGTAAGCCATAATCATCACAATGATGACAAATCACGGCTTGAACTATCTTGCTTTGCATGTAATGAGTCTCATATATTAGTTTCACCTTTTAAGTTGCTGCACTGAAATAAATAAACTTTTGCACCATATTCAAATTTTTTGAGTTTCACCTGTGTGTGTATGTGTGTATATATATAGATATATAGATATATAGAGTAAAAAAAAAATATATATATATATTCGCCAGTTGTCCATTCCCAGCTGTGGTAGGGGGCCATGTGGTGCACAATGCAGCCCATCATACAGCTCCCTTTCTTTTTTTTTGTACAAACTTTAGTTGAAGCTCACAAAACATACACTTCATTCATGGCACTGTACTAATGCACAGATCTCTGAGTGTGGATCCACCAATCTATGAGACTTTATGGGGGCAATTGATGTAAGGGGATTCTAAAGGGGGCATTTGATGTAAGGGGGCACTCTGATGGGGACAACTGATGTAAGGGGGGGCACTCTGTTGAGGCAATTGATGTAAGGGGGCACTCTGATGGGGATGTAAGGGGGGGCAACTGATGTAAGGGGGGGCACTCTGATGGGGGCAACTGATGTAAGGGGGCACTCTGATGGGGAAACTGATGTAAGGGGGCACTCCGATGGGGCAACTGATGTAAGGGGGCACTCCAACTGATGTAAGGGGGCACTCCGATGGGGCAACTGATGTAAGGGGGCACTCCGATGGGGCAACTGATGTAAGGGGGCACTCCGATGGGGCAACTGATGTAAGGGGGCACTCCGATGGGGCAACTGGCAACTGATGTAAGGGGGCACTCCGATGGATGTAAGGGGGCACTCCGATGGGCAACTGATGTAAGGGGGCACTCCGATGAGGCAACTGATGTAAGGGGGCACTCCGATGAGGCAACTGATGTAAGGGGGCACTCCGATGGGCAACTGATGTAGGGGGCAACAAACTGATGTAAGGGGGCACTCCGATGAGGCAACTGATGTAAGGGGGCACTCCGATGAGGCAACTGATGTAAGGGGGCACTCCGATGGGCAACTGATGTAAGGGGGCACTCCGATGAGGCAACTGATGTAAGGGGGCACTCCGATGAGGCAACTGATGTAAGGGGGCACTCCGATGTAGGGGGCACTCCGATGAGGCAACTGATGTAAGGGGGCACTCCGATGAGGGGGCAACTGATGTAAGGGGGCACTCCGATGAGGCAACTGATGTAAGGGGGCACTCCGATGAGGCAACTGATGTAGGGGGCACTCCGATGAGGCAACTGATGTAAGGGGGCACTCCGATGAGGCAACTGATGTAAGGGGGCACTCCGATGAGGCAACTGATGTAAGGGGGCACTCCGATGAGGCAACGATGTAAGGGGGCACTCCGATGAGGCAACTGATGTAAGGGGGCACTCCGATGAGGCAACTGATGTAAGGGGGCACTCCGATGAGGCAACTGATGTAAGGGGGCACTCCACTCCGAGGCATGAGGCAACTGATGTAAGGGGGCACTCCGATGAGGCAACTGATGAGGTAAGGGGGCACTCCGATGAGGCAACTGATGTAAGGGGGCACTCCGATGAGGCAACTGATGTAAGGGGGCACTCCGATGAGGCAACTGATGTAAGGGGGCACTCCGATGAGGCAACTGATGTAAGGGGGCACTCCGATGAGGCAACTGATGTAAGGGGGCACTCCGATGAGGCAACTGATGTAAGGGGGCACTCCGATGAGGCAACTGATGTAAGGGGGCACTCGGATGAGGCAACTGATGTAAGGGGGCACTCGGATGAGGCAACTGATGTAAGGGGGCACTCGGATGAGGCAACTGATGTAAGGGGGCACTCGGATGAGGCAAAGGGGGCACTCGGATGAGGCTGATGTAAGGGGGCACTCGGATGAGGCAACTGATGTAAGGGGGCACTCTGATGAGGCAACTGATGTAAGGGGCACTCTGATGAGGCAACTGATGTAAGGGGGCACTCTGATGAGGCAACTGATGTAAGGGGGCACTCTGATGAGGCAACTGATGTAAGGGGGCACTCTGATGACGCAAACTGATGTAAGGGGGCACTCTGATGGGGCAACTGATGCAAGGGGGGGCACCCTGATGGGGCAAGGGGGGCACCCTGATGGGGCAACTGATGCAAGGGGGCACCCTGATGGGGCAACTGATGCAAGGGGGCACCCTGATGGGGCAACTGATGCAAGGGGGCACCCTGATGGGGCAACTGATGCAAGGGGGCACCCTGATGGGGCAACTGATGCAAGGGGGCACCCTGATGGGGCAACTGATGCAAGGGGGCACCCTGATGGGGCAACTGATGCAAGGGGGCACCCTGATGGGGCAACAACTGATGTACTGATGGGGGTACTCTGATGAGACAATTGATGTTAGGGGGCACTCTGAGGAGGCAACTGATGTAAGGGGATACGTTGATGAGGACAGTTGATGTAAGGGGGCGCTCTGATGGGGACACCTGATGTAAGGGGGGACTCTTGTAAGAACTCTGATGTCAAGGGGAACTCTGTTGAGGATCCTTGATGTAAAGAGGGACTTTGATAGGGACACAGGTTCTGCTTAATCATCCTAATCCAAAGACAGCCTTATACATATTAGCGTTCACTGTTCACCTACCTCTCAGACATTACTCCTGGGTTGTGACTTGCCAAGTGAACAAGGAATACTGGTTTTTGGCATCTGTCACACTATTGACATTGCACCCCCCCGCCCCGATTATGTCGGCTAGATCTGGCCCTGAGCTGCGCATATCAACGCACATGCATCTTCAGTGCCCTGGGATAGGTTTTTATATGCAGTATGTTGTGAGAACACCTTTATGAAATACGATATTTGCTAAAAATGTCATATCAATGTATCGTAATTCTGCAGAACAGGGAGTGTTATATGGTGGTGATTTGGCATTATTTCCAGAGAACAGACATTCTGAGTAATAGGGGAGGAAGCAGAATATAATTGCAGGCAAAAACAAAGGGCAACAAACCCTATACTAAAAATAGAAAATTCCTAGAACTGGTAGGACCTGACTGAAACCTGAAGTTTGGGGGACATTAGAAGGAGAAAAAAAGTTTATGATTGGAATGCTTTTTGCTCTCGACTTTAAATGTAAAATCCAGGTATTGTGAGGGGCACTCTGATGGTCCATCTTGGCACGATATACGAACATCTCATACCCGAGGAGCCGCTGGGGAAGCTAACAATTACTAATAGTTGAAGCTACTGCTGTGATCTTCAGGGTCCTGTGTTGAGCATTTTCCCCTCTGCACAATGACCACAGGGGGTCGCTCTTGGTACCACTGCCATTCACAGAACACCTTGCATTTTTTCAATAAATACAAGGTGTTCTCTGATTGGACAAGGTAGAGAAAAGGGGCGGTACCATCACAATCTCCACCTCATCCAGTCAGAGCATGTCTTGTATTCATAAAAAAAAAATACAAGGTGTTCTGTAAGTGGTGGCAGTGCTCAGCAGTTGGGCAGTCACTTGGCACAGGACCCTGAAAATCGCATCTCAGAACCCAGAGGCTGATTTACTTCACTATAGCAATAGTTAAGAAAATTACTTCTTCACTGACCTAATCCAAATCACATGGTGACTTTAAACTCATTTATATTTATGACACCGCAGCCACATAATCCAGGCAAGTAGTTTAAGGATTAACCAACATGACTTCACATAGGATGTCCTGGAGCACTAAAAATATCTATGGGACGTGTGAACACAACAGCTATTCTGCCATCCAAAGCTTCACTACTCTCTACCCAGGGCTTAAAATTTCAAGTCCTGAGCTATTAGCTAGGCTTTAGAATTACTCGCCACCAACAAACACACACAGAGACATGTACACAAACACACACACACACACACACTACAGACACTTGTATACACACACAGGCACGTACAGACACACATACACACAGATACATGTACATACACAGAAATACACAGACACATGTACATACTTAGACACATGTACACAGACACATGTACATACATACACACAAAAACACACACATGTACATGCACACACACACACACTTGAACACACATACATACATGTACATACACGCAGACACATGTACAGAAACACACAGACACATGTACAATTGTACATGCATACACAGACACACACACATGTACACTTACACATACACCCCTACTCCCCCATAAAAAGTTACAGTACTTCGTTGTTCACTCACAGATCCGGGTACTACACTCTAGGGGGAGGCAGAGAGCACAGCACACACTCCTTGCTTTGCTTTCACTGCGCTCAGCTATTGAGCAGTCTGACGGCTCCCAGTGCCAATGACAGATCCGGTCTGAGCTCCGAGTCTGCTCAGCAAGATGGTCCGGGGGACACACTCGCCCCCACCATAATTTCCAATCGCCATTGGTGAGCAGGCGAGTGGAAATTTCAAGCCCCGCTCTACACTGCATATGTCCGCCCTTACATGGTTACATAGTTAATCTGGCTGAAAAAAGACAAAAGTTTATCCAGTTCAACCATTAAAAAAAAAAAAAGTTATAATCCTATACCCACAGTTGATCCAGAGGAAGGCAAAAAAAACCAGCAAAGCACGATCCAATTTGCTCCTGCTGGGGAAAAAATTCCTTCCTGTTCCCCCGAGAGGCAATCGGATATTCCCTGGATCAACTTCACCTATAAATGTTATATCCAGTTATATTCTGTGTATCCAAGAAAGAATCCAGGACTTTCCTACAGCAATCCACTGAGCTGGCCACAACCAACTCTTGAGGGAGTCTATTCCACATTCTCACAGCTCTCACTGTGAAGAAACCTTTCCTTGTTTGGAGATTAATAGTTACATAACCTTGACAAAGACCATGTAGATGTAAGGTTGTCTCCTTTACCTTGTCTGGCTTGTCCACTCTGATGTTCTCCAGATCCTCCATGATGAACTCCAGGACCTTGATGTGACCTCTCTGCGCTGCACAGTGAAGCAGGTTGAGTCCATTCTGAAAATGCAATAGTTAAAGCGTCACTAAACACCCCATAAAAAGCAAAACCTTCCTAATAATGGCAGAGAGTTCCATATTGTGGGTACTGCATGATAGGATGCAAAGGATTTTGGGATGACTGTGGGCACAGGTTTTCTTCCATTTCTCAGAGGAGCGTGTGGAAGTATACGTAACCAAGAATTCCTAATTCCTAAAATCAATAGGTCAGAGTTGGAATTGAAAAAAATAAATAGCCATGCAGCTTTGATATAAACTGAAATGTTCCTCCTGGAAAAGAAAATTGCAAATGGATTAATAATAAGGCAGATGAAGATCATAAAATCGACCATTAACAAAAAAGCTTGATGAGCAGCTACACTGATCAATGGATGGAGGTCACCGATCAGTAGCAATCCCTGGTGTTTATTGCTCACACAATTTATGTATATCCCAATTTGTAATTAGAATCGATGTATATCGATTTGTAAATAGGCCCAACCCTTATTTTAGGATCCAGTTGTCCTTCTTTAGAAGACACCCCCAAACAGAGCATGTCCTACAATCCCGTGTTTAGGATCACATACAGGATACACACATGGTCTGGGAACTTAAGATACATATTTCCAAGGTTTAGACCAGCTGGACAAGTTTGCGGTCACCAGAGGTGTAACTAGAACCTCTCAGGGCCCCTGTGCAAGAAACCACAAGGAGCCTCTCTGACCCCCAGCTGGGGCTCTTAACTCTGGGCCCCGGGACCAAGGGTGTATTTAACACAAGGCAAACAAGGTATTTGCCTAGGGCGGCATTTTTCAGGGGGGCAGCACTGCTCCCCGGAAGAAGGGACAGAGGAAGGGACACAAGCGGCATGGAGACCAGTTGGGATCCGAGAGAGGCTGTGGGCTGCTTGATGGTGTATGGAGAGCTTGACTCTCATTCCAGGGGATGTCTGGAGCTGTGAAGGTGAGTGTCTGTCTCCCTCTCGCTGGGGGGGGGGGGGTCCCGGTGTATGAAGGGTGGTGGTAGTGGAAGGTTATCTTGGGTGAGGGGGGGTCAGGGGTGGTGTTGGTTGGTGTCCGGCTGATGGATGATTTTTGTGTTGCCTAGGGCAGCACAAAACCAAAATACTCCACTGCCCGGGACCCTTTACTCCTATCGCAGCACCCTTTATTATGGTCAGTGGGAGCTTTTCACATGTTCTGCAGTGGGCCCCCTTTGGGAAGGGGGGGGGGTTGGTGAGATATCACGGGTCTAACAGGTGTTCCACCTTTGAGACAGAGAAAGAATATTGAGGACACAGCCCTCAATCTCCATCTCTGCAGCCTCAGCTGCACAAAATGAATGGACAGGAATATCTCCTAACAAAGCTTCCCTCTATTCACAAACTGAAGCATAATAAACACAGTTTACTATTCTACAGTTATGAATGAGCAGAACCATTGGTCAGCACCAATTCAGAACTGTCCATTCAGAAAAGGAAGGGGCTAGTCAATTACATGTTTACCAGCCCCTTCCCCTGCTCTCCATCCTAAAAGCATCCCCCAAAGCAGCTGGCGGGAGAAAGGAGGGGGTAATCTAGCAGCGCTGCGGGAGGGGGGAAGGGGGGATAGGGAATTACACAGGGGTCTGGTACAGCAGGACCTAGATAGGAGGGACGGCGGGGTGCCATAAAGAGCAACTGATCTCCTCCATTCTCCTCCTGCAGCTGCTGCAGGAAGAAAATGGAGAGAAATCGGTTCCTCTATTTGCTGCCCTCACCGTCCCTCCTATCCAGGTGTACATGGTAGCTGCACAGGCCCCTTGGAGCATGGAGCCGGGTCGCAATTGCGACCACTATAATTGCGCCCCTGGCTGCCACTGTTAGCCCGTGCCCTCCAGCCCTTCTGCCTTGTCTGGGGTTGAAGTGCAGCCAGTTACATCTCATCCTCTCTTCTATGTCAGTAATATCTATTGATCTTGGTCAAAGGGTCATCGGTGTCTGCTTAGAAGGGTGGCTAGAAGCCAGGGTGGATAAAAATCAATGCTTTTTTAAAATAAAAAAAAAAAAAAAAAAAAAAAAAAAAAAAAAATCGGATTTTTATTTAAATCGGATTTTTTTTAAATAAAAATGCTTTTTGTCGAAAATATATTACCATCCAAAAGGTTATTCCATCATGAAATAAAGATTAGTTTTTTAATTATGTAGAATAAGGTTGTATATGTTTAATTTTTTTGGTAAATAAATTCCATGAATCCATTCACAATGTCATGCTCTTCCAGAGGTTTTTGTAAGATTATTGGGCAGTTTCTCTGCCTACAAGATATTATCACAGATGCTCGGTTTACTTTTGCAGTTCTCAAAACTGAATTTGACTCAGCGGAGATCACATGCCTCTTCTTCACAGCAAAAATGTTATAACATGAACAGAGTTAAGAAAAAGACCTTCATCCTAACTTCTACAAACCTATGAATACAGAATCAACCCCTTCAGTGCTAAGTTTCAAGAAGTTCAGTGAATAGAATAGAAACAATATTTTTCTGATTGTTTGGAGTGGAATAGATCTGCACAAGAAGAAAGTGAAACGAAGTGTGAGGAGGGAGGGGCTGACTGACAGTGCGAGGAGGGAGGGGCTGACAGTGCGAGGAGGAAGGGGCTGACAGTGTGAGGAGGGAGGGGCTGACAGTCTAAGTTTCTTAAATATATACATTTTGTTTAGCCAAATTAGTTATCAAACATGGATGTTTGTTTAAGCAAATCACATTTGCTGGAATGTTATTGTTTCAGTTGAATAAATCTATTTAAATTGTTATTATTAAGGTAATGATTATTTTTCTCCTTCCTAAGTACAACAGAAAAGTTGTCCAAATATGAATGATTAATCTATTAAACTGGGGATAAAAAAACTAATATGAAAAGTTGTTATTCTAAAAATCTTCATCTACTTGCATATTAAAGTTATTCCAGCAAGAATTAGTGTTTATGTAGAAAACTAGGATTTAAATCAAGTCTTACTGACTAGTGATTTAAATTGTGATTTAAATCAGTTTGATTTAAATCAAATCCACCCTGCCTCTATGGGAGAGTTCCGAGGGAAAAGCCAATGCTGACTAAAAAGAACAAAAAAAAATGTCTCACATTTGCCAAAAAACATCTTGATTATTCCCAAGACTTTTGGGCAAATATTCTGATGAGACAAAAGTTGAACTTTTTGGAAGGTGTGCACCCCGTTACAGCATTTCATAAAAAGATCATATCAACAGTCAAACATGGTGGTGGTAGTGTAAGGTCATGGGACTGCTTTGCCATTTCAGGACCTGGACGACTTGCCATAATTGATGGAACCATGAATTCTGCGCTCTACCAGAAAATCCTGAAGGAGAATGTCCGGCCATCAGTTTGTGACCTGAAGCTCAAGCGCACTTGGGTTATGCAGCAGGACAATGATCCGAAACACACCAAGTCCACCTCTGAATGGCCTGGTCAAAGTCCAGACGTAAATCTGACTGAGATGTTCTGGCATGACCTTAAACAGGCCATTCATACTTGAAAACCCTCCAATGTGGCCAAACTAAAACAATTCTAATGTTATTCTAAAAATCTTCATCTACTTGCAAATTAAAGTTATACCAGCAAGAATTAGTCTTTATGTAGAAAGCTATGATTTAAATCAAGCCTGACTAGTGATTTAAATCAGTTTGATTTAAATCAAATCCACCCTGCTAGAAGCACTAAAGAACATTGCCTTAGGCAGACTGTTGTTTTACGAGTGGCCTTTTCAAGTCTTGACTGACATATGAACATTATTATTATTATTATTATACAGTATTTATAAAGCGCCAATAGTTCGCTCAGCGCTGTACATTACAAAGGGGGACAGAACATGTGACAGAACAATACCAATACGATGCAAAACATGAGGGGATCGAGGGCCCTGCTCTTTCGAGCTTACAATCTTAGGAGGGAGGGGATGGTGGTACAGGAGGAGATAGCTGTGGGGGATGGAGTGGTAGGAAGAGTGGAGGAGGTCGGCAGGTTAGCAGGGGGTGGGGTAGGCTTCCCTGAAGAGATGGGTTTTCAGGGTGCGCCTAAAGGAGAGGAGAGTAGGTGATAATCTGATGGGTTGGGGCAGGGAGTTCCAGAGGATGGGTGACTCCCTGGAGAAGTCCTGGAGGCGGTCATGGGAGGAGGAGACCAGGGAACTAGAGAGAAGGAGGTCTTGTGAGGAGCGGAGTGTGCGTGTTGGGTGGTACTTGGATATTAGGTCGGTGATGTAGTTCGGGGCAGTATGGTGGACGGCTTTTTACATCAGTGTTGGGATTTTGAATTTGATCCGTTGCGCAATTGGAAGCCAGTGGAGGGATTGGCAGAGGGGGGTGGCGGAGATGGAGCGGTTGGAAAGGTGAATGAGTCTGGCAGCCGTATTCAGGATGGACTGAAGCGGGGATAGCCAGCGGCGAGGCAGGCCAGTGAGGAGGGAGTTGCAGTAGTCGTACATACAGGATAAACAGACACAGCGTCAAGCCTCACCTTATTATGACAGCTGATTTTGGCTCCGGCGTTGACCAGGATCTGCAGAACTTTGAGGTGTCCAAACCATGCCCCCAGCAGTAGAGCATTCATTCCAAACTAGAGGTTCACAAAATGGGCAGAAACAAGAATATAGTGATGGCAGTGATCGTACACACAGTATGCCTGAGAAACTTAGTCAACATATACTTTGCATAAGGAAACTAAAGAGAACAAAAGCTGCATAGAAGTTATTATTATACAGTATTTATAAAGCGCCAATAGTTTGCTCAGCGCTGTACAAAGGGGGACAGCACATGTGACAGAACAATAACAATACAATGTGATACACGAGGGGTTCGAGGGCCCTAATCTTTCGAGCTTACAATCTAGGAGTTCTGCAATAGGTTCAGCTTTACTGATGCCAAACCACCGACTGGCCAACATTATGAAACCACATACAGGCGTACCTCGGTTTACATATTTAATTCGTTCTGCGGGACTTTTTGTATTGCGAAAAATTTGTAAACCAAAACATGATTTCCCCATAGGAATGCATTGAAAACCAATGAATCCGTTCCAAAGGTCAGAAAAAAGTTTAAAAAAAAGTATTTTATCTGTTCAAAACTCTAAAAAAGTGCACTTTAAAAGGCATAAATACTGTTCAGGGACATGATTAAAAGTAAAATTAAATATCTAAGTGACCAATATAAAGGTATATCAAATGTCACTAAATTGCGCCAGATGCAAAAATTTAAATATAAAAAATGTGCTTAGATCATGTAAAACATGTAAAAAATAAAAATGAAAAACCTTTGCTGCCACTATGTAATCCTCAGAATAAATATATATAATTCACCTCAAAACTGGTGAAAAAAAGTGGCGCATACACTCCACACTGTCAAAACTAAATTTAGATTTAGTTTTGACACTGTGGAGTATATGCACCACTTTTTTTCACCAGTTTTGTTGTGAATGATTAAAAATTAATTCGTAAATGCATTGAAAACCAATTAATCCGTTCCAGAGGTCAGGAAAAAGGAAAAAAAAAAGTCTTATCTGTTCAAAACTCTTTATAAGATATAGTACTGTACAGGAACATGATTTAAAAACAATTCGTAAATGCATTGAAAACCAATTAATCCTTTCGTATTGCAAAAAAAATTCGCAAACCGAGCCATTATTTTCAATGGATTTTCACTCGTAAACCAAAAATTACGTTAACCGAGGCGTTCATAAATCGATGTGCGACTGTGGTGGCTATACACTGGTGGCTGCTATGTAATATGGAACAAAGAAAAAGGTGGAGGTGGTGTTCACAGCAACCAAAGTATACTTAGAAATGTACAGGTGAAACTCTAAAAATTAGAATTTCAGTAATGCAACCTAAAAGGTGAAACTAATATATGAGATAGACTCATTACATGCAAAGCAAGATAGTTCAAGACGTGATTTGTCATCATTGTGATGATTATGGCTTACAGCTCATGAAAACCCCAAATCCACAATCTCAGAAAGTGAGAATATTCCATGCAATCAATAAAACAAGGATTGTACATAGAACAATATCGGACCTATGAAAAGTAGAAGCATGCATATGTACTCAGTACTTGGTTTGGGCCCCTTTTGCAGCAATTACTGCCTCAATGCGGCGTGGCATGGAAGCTATCAGCCTGTGGCACTGCTGAGGTGTTATGGAAGACCAGGATGCTTCAATAGCGGCCTTCAGCTCTTCTGCATTGTTCGGTCTCATGTCTCTCATCTTTCTCTTGGCAATGCCCCATAGATTCTCTATGGGGTTCAGGTCAGGCGAGTTTGCTGGCCAATCAAGCACAGTAATCCCACGGTCATTGAACCAGGTTTTGGTTCTTTTGGCAGTGTGGGCAGGTGCCAAGTCCTGCTGGAAAATGAAGTCAGCATCCCCATAAAGCTCGTCTGCAGAAGGAAGCATGAAGTGCTCCAAATTCTCCTGGTAGACGGCTGCGTTGACCCTGGACTTAATGAAGCACAGTGGACCAACACCAGCAGATGACATGGCTCCCCAAATCAACACAGACTGTGGAAACTTCACACTGGACTTCAAGCATCTTGCAGTGTGTGCCTCTCCATTCTTCCTCCATACTCTGGGTCCTTGGGCCTCTCCATTCTTCCTCCATACTCGGGGTCTTTGGGCCTCTCCATTCTTCCTCCATACTCGGGGTCCTTGGTTTCCAAATGAGATGCAAAAGTTGCTCTCATCAGAAAAGAGGACTTTGGACCACTGAGCAGCAGACCAGGTCTGTTTTTCTTTAGCCCAGGTAAGATGCTTCTGACATTGTTTGTTGTTCAGGAGTGGCTTGACAAAAGGAATACAACATTTGAAGTCCATGTCCAGGATCCGTCTGTATGTGGTGGCTCTTGATGCACTGACTCCAGCCTCAGTCCACTCCTTGTGAAAGTCCCCAACACTTTTGAATGGCCTTTTCCTGACAATCCTCTCCAGGCTGCGGTCATCCCTGCTGCTTGTGCACCTTTTTCTTCCACACTTTTCCCTTCCACATAACTTTCTATTAATGTGCTTTGATACAGCACTTTGGGAACATCCAACTTCTTTTGCAATTACCTTTTGAGGCTTTCCCTCCTTATGGAGGGTGTCAATGATGGTTTTCTGCACAACTGTCAGGTCAGCAGTCTTTCCCATGATTGTGATTAGAGATGAGCGAATTATTCAAAAATTCGGTTCGGCTGATTCGCCGAATTCGCCAAATAAATTCGCTTCGAGCCGAATATATTCGCTGCGAATTTAACTTATAAAAAGGGTGTTTCTAGGCTTCAGAGAGCCTTTATATTAGTGCAGAACACTGTACCTTTAATTTAAATGCTGGGGAAGAGAAATAATACTGTCAGTCAGTATGACATGCAGATGAGTGCCGTCGATCTTAGAATCACCGCACACTTCACTCATTTGGGCAGTCACGGGGCCAAAACCCCGGAGCCACAGTGTGGCGGTGGAGGCAGCAGCAATGGGAGGCCATACAGCACCCTATGACAAAATGGAACCCACCAGCAGTGTGAGGAGACCTGAAAGTGGCACATGGCAGAGTGTGGCGATGGAGACAGCAGCAATGGGAGGCCGTACAGGGACCCATGACACACTCTGGACCTGGCAGCAGCATGAGGAGGCGGTACAGGGGCCCATGACAGATTAAGGGCCTGGCAGCAGCATGAGGAGTCGGTACGGGGGCCCATGGCAGATTACGGGCCTGGCAGCAGCATGAGGAGGCGGTACGGGGGCCCATGGCAGATTACGGGCCTGGCAGCAGCATGAGGAGGCGGTACAGGGGCCCATGGCAGAGTGGCGGAGCAGAAGCAGCTTCAATTGAAGGCCATACACAGGCTAGGTTTAAAAGTCCCTCACAATTAATTCCAATAACGAACTCTACTCCTCTGTGCAATCTACACAATCGGTCAATTGCAGCTTGCCGTTGGCTGGAAACTGTACGTTTATGTCACTGGAATGCACTAATCACCCAAAAAATATTACCGCCACCCGGCGTGTAAATGGATCTAACTCTTTGAACGTACAATAGTGGTTGTGAAGCAGAAAGTCAGTTTATTGTACACAATCAGTCAATTGCAGCTTGCCATTGGCTGGAAACTGTACGTTTCTGTCACTGGAATGCACTAATCACCCAAAAAATATTACCGCCAGCCGGCGTGTAAATGGATTTAACTCTTTGAACGTACAATAGTGATTGTGAAGCAGAAAGTCAGTTTATTTTGCACAATCGGCAAACTGCAGCACCAACTGTGCACGACAGCCACCAAAAAAAAAAAAGGTGTATGTCACTTTAAATTTTCGATTCTTTGATAGCTGTGGCCCTGAGTAACGATTCTGTGTCCCTGAGTAACGATTCTGTGTCCCTGAGTAACGATTCTGTGTCCCTGAGTAACGATTCTGTGGCCCTAAAGTCTCTGTGGCCCTAACTCTGTCCCTTAATACACACAGGTCTGTCTCTCTTGAATGACCGGAGGCTAATGGAGAATTCTAAGATGGCCGCGATTTATAGCTCCACCATTACACAGTGCTGGCTGGCTGCTGATTGGCTAATGCGATCACATGTCATGAATGCATTATGGGTCAGCGTGCCTTGTCTGCGCGCCTTCCCAGAGATCCCCGCCCCATCTTCTCTGTCCATTTTCTCCGTCGCCACACGTGTCGCCGCCATTTTTGGGAAAATTCGATTCGTGCATCCGAAGTTTGCTAATCTTCGGATTCGTCGCAAATAGAATTTTTCCAAATCTTCGGAACGAATTCCACTTCGTCATGTTCGATTCGCTCATCTCTAATTGTGATTCCTACTGAACCAGACTGAGAGACCATTTAAAGGCTCAGGAACCCTTTGCAGGTGTTATGGCTTAATTAGCTGATTAGAGTGGGACACTTTGAGCCGAGAATATTGCACCTTTTCACAATATTCTCATTTTCTGAGATTGTGGATTTGGGGTTTTCATGAGCTGTAAGCCATAATCATCACAATGATGACAAATCACGGCTTGAACTATCTTGCTTTGCATGTAATGAGTCTATCTCATATATTAGTTTCTCATTTTAAGTTGCATTACTGAAATAAATGAACTTTTGCACGATATTCTAATTTTTTGAGTTCCACCTGTATTTGTAGATAAGGTTGGAAAAAAATACAAGGAAGAGCCTCATAGGCTGCTTTGGGAAACCCAACCCTTCTTTTAAAAATTAGTCCATTATGTGCCTTAAACACTATGAAAAACAAAAATTGTTCAAAAAGCGCTGGAAAGGTTTTTTTTTTTTTTCCTTTCTCTGAGTTTCCTCGGATTCCAAAATTTTACCCACTTTTCCCAAGTTAATAGAAACAATTGAGTCCTGTCCGTGATACTTTTTTTTATTTGCATTAACATACAATTTTGAGGACAAGCTTTCAGGGTTTGTCCTCTTCTTCAAGTTAATGAAAGACTAAAGGTCAATATCAAAGTATAGTATATAAAATTAGCAAAAAAACCCACAAAACATAAAAAACCGATACAAAAAGGCAAAACAAAAACCCACTTGAGCTTCTCTCCAATGAAAATAAAGCAAAATCCCTATTTCCCGCAAGCAGCAT